AAGGTAAGGGTTTAGGTTTAGTTTTGGTAGGTAAGTAAGTAGTACAGGAACGTCTCTACCTACGTCATATTGTCGTCTTTATTTCGTTTCTTTTTTTTTAATTCTTCATTTTTAAGATCCTTCCTCTGGACCAGATCCCTGCTTCCGCCAGGGCAGGATTCTGCTCTTTGAATTTATCCCTCCTTGATGTCTGGTAGGGTGGTAGAAAGAGAAGGCAGTGAATTACAAGGATCTGTGTGCAAATCCTCCTCCTTACCTGTGCTCTGTGTCAACTTCAGTAAGGAAGAAATTTCCGTTCTCAGAGCCTCAGTCTCCTCAACTGTGAAGTGGGAGTCTTAATCCCGGCTTTAAGAGGCTGCTGGGAAGTGATGAACCAGTGTGGGTAAAGTGCCCACCACCCAGTAGCTGCTTAGTAAAGACATTGCTGCTTTAGTGCATCCCCTGTATGCCGGCTGAGATCATTTCCACATCCCCTGAATCGTGTACAGACACTTAGTTGTTTGCTTTTATTTGTATTGGACTGTTGGTCCTTCTCCGGGGTGATCCTCAGACAGTTTCTGTGGCCACTGGGGCCTTTGTGCAGGTTCAATGCACTGGCAAATAACTTAAAGGCTACCCCTTTGTTTGGGAAGGATCTTTCCCCTTGTCTGGGAGGCCGGCTCATCTGTCAGCTGGAGCTCCCTGGAACAATAGCCAGAGATGCTCAGGGGCAGAGGCAGAGGCTGGCTGAGGGTGACATCTGTCTCCCCACTCCTCTCCAGGCTGATCTCATCAGATGAGACAGGTGTCCCTTGCTCCCTTATGGTGCCAGGTGGGCCCGTCTGGAAGCTACTGGGTGAGTCGTGGGGGAGGGGCTGAACTCTCCTGGACTCAGGGCTATGGGCTAGATGATTAACCGTAACCAAGTCCAGCTACCGGCTGGTAACTGTTTACCAAGGTTCCTGCTGGGTGCTGCCTCTTGGAGACCCCATGAGAAGGCTGGGAATCGGGCATTCCAGATGGGAAACTGAGGCTCAGAGAGGTGAAGGGACAAGCTCAGGGTCACACAGTCAGTTAGCTGTAGAGTCAGGATTTGAACCCAGAACTAGTCTGGCTCTGAAATGTGGTGGCATAACTACTACACTACGCTACCTTCCTTTCTTAAAGTGAACTTAATCAGTTGCCTCAAGACCGTGGAAGCAACTGGAATAAACCGACCCTGATGGTTTAGCAATCACAGCCAGTTCCTCCCTCCACTATAACAGTAACGCTGGCGACCAGAGCGTTCGCACTTTATACCTACCTTCCCCAGGTCCGTTCTCATTTAACCCCCACCCCCATATCCGGACATAAGCCTTCTGCCCCTTAAAGGTTCAACAGGCGTGTTGAGAATCCCGTTGCACCGTTTCCTAGCTGGGTGATTTTTGGCGCAAGTCACACTGCTCTGAACCTCAGTCTCCTCATCTGTAAAATGGGAATTAAAAAACCCAACCCATTGTTTTGTCAGGTAAAGGTGTCCCCCACCCGCAGCTCGGGGGTTCCCTTATTTGAGGGAGATTTGAATAGTGAAGCTCTTCTTTTGGGTAGGTTGTGTTGGAGTTCGTCCAGGAAAAAAAAAAAATGGTGCTTTTTGCGCCTGCGCAGAAGCCTCTCCCTCCTGTCTCCAGCGAGGCGCTGGGCACATCTTATTCCCAGGAGCTCCTGCCATCTCTCAGCACTCACTCATCCAAAGCAATTTAGGCCAACGTCTCTCACATGCCTCAGCTCTCTGAGCAGCTATTTTATTCTAGAGTCAGTGGAAAAAAACACCCTAAAACCCAAGGGGGTCCTGAAACTGCAACCAAACACACGTTTCCCTGGTAGCTGTTTGTCTATTACCAAGAATAGTGCAAAGTTTAGGGGGAAAAAATGAATATCCATGGATGGTGCTAATGAGCAGTGTGGACAATGGTAGTCATAATAAAGTGAGAAAATAAGAGAATGCAAGCTAATAGGTAACAGTTCTCATCTCATGTAATCCTCACAGCAGCCCTGTGGGGTGAGCACCGTAGTCACCCCGCTTTTGTGGATAAGAAGACCTGCCCTAGGGAGTAACAGATTTGCTCGAGGTGGCAGAACAGAATGGGAAGCCGGGCAGTGAAGCCCAGGTCCTTTCCAACACGTTTGGATGTTTTGGTTGGTACTGGACAGGCCAAGATACCTCTTGGTTTCTCCTTTTGCTTCTTCTGATCCACATCCAAGGAGATCAGTTTTGGCAAATGCTGTAATTTCAGAACAGGACCCTGGCATCTCTTCTCCAATGTGCCCATGGCTACATCTTTATCCACCCATCCCTTTCTCTCTTTCCTTGACAGCTGGAGGCATCTCCCTGCCCACCCATGTCTTCCAGACACGTTCACGTGGCCACCATGACCTTGACAGCATCAGAGGAGTAACCCAGGTGACCCTTCCTCTCTTTCTGTGCACCCCTGGGGGTGGTGGAGACCAGCCTCGGGCTGTGTGGTCAGGTCCACCACAACATCCGTATGTGCGGGAGATCTTGTGAATTTCAGAGGTGGTAGGACCTCTAGGATGCTCTGGGGTCCAAACCCTCGATCAAAGCTTCCCTGCTGGGGCCCCAGGCCTGGACTTGAATCAGGGGTGGGGTGGGGTCTGTGTGGGCTAGTGGGAGCTGAGATGCTGGGACCCAGAAGCTCACCACCAGGTCTCCCTGTGGCCTTTGATTGGACCCTTCTTGGTTCTTGTCCTGTGTCATCACATCTAAATGAGTTTTGAAGAGCTAACTGGACGGAGGTATAATTTACATGCAGTAAAATGCACCCATTTCAAGCATACATTTCAGTGTGCTTTGATAAATGTATACATCTGTGTAACCACCATCACAATCAAGATACAGAACATTTTCATCACCCAAAATGGTCCCCTGTTAATCCCCTCCCCAGGAAACCACTGATCTACCTTCTACGCCTGTAAAGTAGATATTTTCCCTAAAATTCCATTATTGTGGAATCTTGTGTTCTTGGCTTCTTTTGCTCAACATATTTTTGAGATTCAGGCTTGTTCTTGCATGTGTCAGTAATTCAACCCTTTTGTGTCTAACCTCGTGTAAGCATATCATATAACGCCTCCATTTCAAGTGCAGAATTCAATGGCTTTTAGTAAATTTACCCAGTTCTGCACAGGAATATCCTGTGCAGAATATCCCAGTTTGCCCCAGGAATATCCCTCACCCCCATTTACTGTTAATCCCCAGCCTGCTCCTAATCCCTGGCAACCACAAATCTACCTTCTGTCTGTAGAGGGTGGCCTTTTCTGGACGTTTTGTGTAAATGGAATCATACAGCATGTGGTCTCTTGCGCCTGGCTTCTTTCACCCCAGGTAATATTTTTGAAGTTTGTCCTTGTCATAGTATGTATCAATAGTGTGTTCCTTTTCACTGCTGAGTAGATTTCATTATATGACGTACTCCCGCTTATTTATCCATTCACCGAGACAGAGGATTGAAATTTGATCTGTGCTTCCTAAGTGAGGTATATACAGCCCCCTGCCCCAGGAGGCATAGAATCCTGCAGGATAAATGTGGCCCACCTTTCTGGGACATCAGTGTTACCCAAAGATTTAAATCATTAACTGGGGAAAATAATTATTGGAACACTAACTCTGTGCCAGGCACGGGCTAAGCCTTTGAGAATGATTAACCTTGGATTTGGAAGCCACTGTCTCACCAATATTTGTCTGACCTCAAAGCCCTTGATACCCTCCTAGACAGCTGTCAGCTTGATGCAGGAGCTAAAGTTTCCCTTGAAATCTCCATTGCGTTTGTCGTATCAGGGATTCTGGGGCCCCAGGGCCAGGGGAGAGGGTCACTGTATTCAAACAGTGCTGCTCTGAGCAGTGCACGGTCTGTTTACAGACTGCAGCAAGTTCCTGGGACAGAGGAGAAAGAAGGGAATTTCCGGGTTCTTCGAGATGTTCATGATCACCCTGGGAAGGAGCCTTGCAGATAAGTATTCAAAAGTACCAGCCCCCAGCCTACCAGCCTGCCCTCTCCTGGTCGGTGCAGGAAAGTCCAGTATCCCAGAATCCCCAAGGTGGGGGAAGAACTCAGCGATGTGGCTCACTCACTTTCCTACCTCTGAGGCCACAAAGAGCTCGTCTCCGTTTTCTGGGGCCCCAGAAAGTAACTTTCACAGCCCACTTTTGGCATCAAGGCTAGAATTTTATAAACTCCACTCTCAGTAACTTCTGAGGACCTGAGTTGAGTGACTTCATCTTGAGTACCTGTAAACCCGGTGTCAGGAGGAGGCTGGGGACTCCGGGTGATTTGGGCTGGCCCTTCCCTTCTCAGTTCTGGCCCTTTGACATCTTCTCAAACTTGGCTAGGGGCCCTTCGCGTGGCAATCAAGTGGGGACCTTGGCACCGTGACCCTCGGGCACATGCTTGGCAGTGTAAGGGTCTGAGTACCTCTCCAGCCCTGGACCCGTGAGCCAAGTCCGGGAGCTGACAGCAAGCTCTAAAAATACGCTGAGAGGACCCCTGACTCCCAGGCCCAGGTCTGCCAGTTGATGAACAGAGCTTAGCTGTCACTGAAAGCAAACCCTGGGAGACAATGCTGGGTCACGATGAGTGGGCATTCTCTGGTCTTCTCAGACTGGTAACATGGGGTGGTCATCAAAGAGTCCCAGCCCACCCTCTGGCTCTGCAAGCTTCCTCTGGTGCCTGGGGCCTCAGAAAAGAGATGGGGAGGGGGACGGGGGCGCGGGGCAGAAAGGTAACTGAGTCTGAGTGGAAGGGCCTCAGACTCGGGGTTGTTACCGTGCGCCGTGGGTGAGTGTCAGGACCAGAAGGGCCCTGTGGCCCAGAGAGAGGGCCGGATTCCCAGGACTGCACAGGATGGCAGGGCTGGGATCAGAGCTCTGGATGCTGGCTCTGTTCAGTGCTCACTTGAACTGTCGTCAAGCTGAGTCTGTCCTGCCTTCTCCAGGGGTCACATTCTGTGGTTGGCGGGCAACAGGGAGGTGGGCAAAGGCAGCAAGGAGGGTATTCGGGGGTGGGAGGAAGGGAGGTGGGGGGCCGGTGTGTCTGGGCCCAGCCTCCCTAGCTCCTGGGGCCTTCCTGTCAGCAGAGTTCTGGCCCGGCCCGGGATGGAGAGGGGGCCTGGGCGCGGTTTTCTCCTGCGCCGTGGTTGGCTCCTTTGTCTTCCAGGATGGGCCTACGTGGGTCTTCGTGGGGGAGGAGCTGGAAGCTGAGCTCGGGCTGCCAAAGTGTTGGCTGGGCGCTGCCAGGTAAGCCTGGGTAGGTGTGGAGCAAGGGGGTTCCATTAGGCTGAGTTTCTTTGGGGATAACTGTCTCCCCACCCAGGGCCTTCCCCAGGTACCCAGACCTGGCCCAAACACTCCTGTCTGGAGTCGAGGGGCTGGAAGGCTTGTTCTGTGTGGTCTCGGTGGAGGGGGTGGGACTGAATCAAGACCACTCCGGGTGGGTTCCTGGCAGAGATTTCAGCCCGTTCCTTCATTCAGCACAAACGTGGACCAAGCGCCTTCTCCCAGCGAGATGCTGAGGCCCCAGAGGGCAACATGAGATGTGGTTCCGCCCTCTCTGATCTTCAGGTAAGAACATGCTCTGTCATCGTCTCAGTGAGGAGATGAGCTCCCCGTCCTGGGAGGTGTGCACGTGTGTGTGTGTGTGTATTGGGGAAGGGTGGTACAGAGGGCCCCTCAGCTGGGAGGCTGTGAAGGCCTTTCCTGCCCACCTGGACTCTCCCTGTCTGCCCGTGACGCCCGCGGGGCTGACTCTGGGCTTGTTGCTTTTCTATCCCCTGTGACAGCCCTGTCCAGGTGGGGCATCCACTTTACGTGTTACTAGCATCCAAGCCCTCACCGCACCCTGTCTAAGTGCTGGTGGCACAGGAGGGAGACTGGGCGTCTTTGAAGGTGCCCACCCCCCGGGTGTGGGGCTGGGCTGTGGGGAGCTGGGGGATGGAGGCTGTCCTCTTATTCTAGACTGCTGTGCCCCCTCCAGGCGGCTCTGCCCTGGCTGCATCTCAGGACTCCTGACCAGGTCTTCTCTTTGGAGCCCGGGTGACCCTAGACTCTGGCCATGGTGACACAGGAAGTGGCCTTCTGGACAATACTGGAACCCTGGACAATTCCCTGAAGACCTCATCCTTCCTGACTCCTGGGATGGAGCCTGCCATGGGTACAGGCCCCTCTGGGATGGTTCTCAGCTGAGATCAGGACCTGGCTCTGGAGGACAGCTCGAGGGATGTGAGGGAGGCCGGCAGCCCACCGTCCCCGCTGCGTCTGTCTGGACCTGCCTGCTGGGCCCTCTGTCCAGGCCTGGAGGCCCTTCCTGACCCCGAGTGGACCTGATTTCTCTTGGCAGCCCTGCTGGAGACCAGAGCTCAGCCTGGGCCAGGGCCTGACTGACCACACCTCGCCAAGGCTGGGTCTTAAAGGACCTTATAGGACAGGGGCAGGATCACAGGACTGGGTGTCAAAGAGGAGCTGCCGGTGGGAGGGAGGGTGGACGCAGCTCCCGGGGCGCCGCCGGCTGGGTCTGCCCTGTGCCGTTGGCTGTGTGAGTGAGTGACGCTCATTCTTGTGGGGGCTTCTTGGATGGGGCTTTCCTGCGCTTCTGCTCTCCCGGATGGTGACCGGGGTGGGGGGCAGCCTGGGCCTTCCCCTTGAGTTGTGGAGCTCTGGGAGGGGCAGCTGGAGGGGTAGAGCTATCCTGGACGGAGAGAGTTTCCAGGGGATGAGGAGACCCAGGCTGGGGAGGCTCGCCAGAAGGAGACAGACGCTGAGCCTTGCTCTCGCCTTCCAAAGGGAATGGTCTGGAATCAGCCTCACCCCAAGGCTTGAGGGATCACCCCAGCCGTATCTCAGACTCCTGCTCCTTGTCACACTCCTGCCCTTGGGGAGCAGCGGCAGGCTCCACACACATCAGGCAGCTCCCCCATCACGTGGCTGCGGCTGCGGCTGCGGGCTCACTGGCCTGCCTGCCTCCCTGTTCACTCCCTCCAGCTCCTTAAGAGGGGCCGGTCCCAGTGCTCGCACAGGAGCAGCTGTGGCCTTCCTTAGGCAAGTCTAGGAGCCCAGTGTCCTTTTCTGGGGGTGGGGAGGGGACCTGGGTGAGTCAGCTTGGGCTGCCATTAACGGAATACCATGCGTGGAGGGCTGAACCGGCAGAAATGGATTTTCTCACAGTTCTGGGGGCTGAAGGTACAAAACCAAGGGGCCAGGGATGGTTTCTGGTGAGGCTTCTCTCCTTGGCTCACAGGTAGAAACACACACACACACACACACACACACACACACACACGAGAGGGGAGGGAGGAAGAGAGAGGGAGAGAAATAGCTAGCTAGCTGGTGTCTCTTCCTCTTCCTATAAGGACACCAGTCCTATGGGATCAGGGTCCCATCCTTATGACCTCATTTAGCCTTAATTATCTCCTTAAAAGGCCTATCTCCAAACACAGTCATGTTGGGAGTTATAGCTTCAACCTATGAATTTGGAGGGGATACAATTCAGTCCATAGTAGGTGGTCACCACAAGCATGGAAAGCTGGTGTCATCTCCCCTTTAGAATTCCTGTCCCCCAAAAGGGAGGGGGTGGAGGGGCAGAGGTATGGGTAATAGAGACAGTATTGGGGGGTAACGTGCTAGGGTGGCCCCGGGTGCCTTGGGGAGACACAGAACCGGCCAGACCCAGTGCAGCGAGGAGGAGCTCCCGGGAGAGGGGTGTCTTGGGAAGATCTTGGGCTTTGGAGCCAGAGGGTGTGCATTTTGCTGTACCACCCAGTCACCTCACCCCTGTGAGTCTGATTTCTGCTCTGAAATGAGCCATCTGCTCACCGTAGGGGCACAGGGAAAAATCAGTGAAATCACGTGTCTGGCACAGCGACTGACTCTTAGTAGGTGCTCAATTAACGCTCCTCTGGGAGTTTACGTGTAGTTTACATCTATTCTGAGCCCCCTGGGCGGTAAGCCCAGCATCTTTGATCCAGAGGCATTTCTGATTAGTCGTCCCCCTTTGTATTCTTAATATCTCTCCCTAATCAGATCGAGGAATCGGTGGCACTGCATGGCCTCCCTAGTAGCTCCAAATGCTTCCTGGGGAATTTATTATCTACTCTTCTCATCAGGATTGAGCACCTAATGTGAGCCCTTCCCTGTGTGACTCACTTGAGGGGAATATAATTGAAGTTACGGCCCTGATTCAAACCTTCAGGATTGCACAGCCATGCTGAGTGGGAGAAAACCAGCTCACACAGAGAACTGGAGGATGGAGCAGGAAGCAGTCTACTGAGGCACAGGTTCTAAGTGCTTGAGTGTGTGGGAGTAAGATCCTGGAGGAGGCTGGAAAGACTTCCCAGCAAGGCTGAACTAATCAGGACCTTGGAGGATGAGAAAGAGGTGGCTTAGCTGAGAGCCTCAGGGAGAAATGAGTGCAGATAGCCCCAAAGTAAGTTCTAGGAAATGTCATTGCTCTTACAAAAAAAAAAAAAGAAAAAAGAAAAAAAGTTCAAATTCGGTAGGTTTCTGCAGTGCAGGACTTATCAGAGCCTTTAAAAGTGCTGCTGGGTATTGTGAATATTCAAGGACAGATACAGGATTAAGTGTTTACCCCCCAAAGTTTACCGGCAACAGAACCCTTTTCTTCCAGAGCATCAGTTGGAACTATTGGATCCAAGGCTGCGGTTTCTGTGGGAAAACTGCAACTGTGATAAAAGATGACAAAACTAGGGCACACTCAGCTGCTTCGCAGCATCGGCTGGAAAGGCAGCCCTTTCCCTGGGGCCAGGAAGTGTGAACTTGGTGCCGGGGGTCAGGCGAGCTCTATGCAGTTTCAGTGTTGCGGGGAGGGCAGGCCAGGGGCTGGAGTAGCCACAGGTTTGGCGGTTGGTGATGGAGGAGCTCTCCACTGGACACAGTGGCTCCGGGGCCTCAGACCTCTTGTGGGAATATGCTGGTGTGTGTACGAGTGTGTGCGTGCACCTGAGTGTGACAGGATCCAGCCTTCCGGGAAGGGGATGACCAGAACCAGGCAGGGGGTTTCCAGCTGGAAGGAGCAGCGTCCATTTTCAGGGGAACTGAAGTGTCTGGGGAAGTGCCCCGGAGACCCATGGCTGAGAAGTAGGGAAGAAAAATTTATGGGGGCCGGGTCTACGTGGATAGCTTTGATTCTCGGGTGGGGCTGAGGAGCTTGGAGGCAGACCCCCTGCCCTGGTCAGGCCCAGCTCCCTGGCTGGTTGGGGGCGGGAGGCCTCTGGAGCTGCAGCTGGAGGGGCTGGGGGCAGTGTTGCATGGTGTGATTAACCTACTAACCCAGGGCTCGGCCGGGACGCTGTGGCGTGTGACGAGGTGCCTGGCCTTCTGCCAACCGACTAACCCACTAACCAGGCCCGAGCATGCCCTACTAACCCCCCGCAGCCAGACCCTACTAACCTTGCAGCTCACGGGCCTTTCAAGGGGCTGGGATGTGGGGGCAGACGAGGCTCCGGAAGGCGCTGCCCGAGGCCTGGGAGCTCTGTGCAGACCCACACTGCAGGACAGGGCATGCAAATCGGACTCGCCAGCTCTGCCACTTCCCGCTGGGTGACTTGAGCCAGTCACTTGCCCTCTCTGAACCCCGGTTTCCTCAGCAGCAGAGTGAGTGGCCTGATCCTCACCCACACGTTGCAGTGAGGATTCCCAGGAAGATGAAGCTTTTGACAGAGGGCAGATACTGAATACACATCTGGATATGCATGAGGGTGGGGGTGGGAGACTCGGAAAACCTGCCCGCTCATGTCCCAGGGCAGGCCCTGGTCCCTCTGGGTGGTCTGCACACAGACCCCTCTGCCTGGGGCCAGACACTCGCTTTGAACCCCTAACCATCTCTTCCCCACACTTCCTCCTCAGCTTCCTTCCCGTAGGCAGCTCTTTTGTTCAATTACTAACCCATCTAACCCCAGGGGGGCCTCAACTGCACCCCGACCACCCCTTAACGAACTAATGGACCTGTGTGCGTTCTTCTTTTCTCCTAGTGCCTCCCGTGTGTGTCTGCTGAGGTGCCCCTGTCCGCTGGTGCTGTGCTCTGACTTACTAACCCAGCCCCTACTAACCCTGTTTTCTCTTCTTACTAACCCCAGCCCTGCCGAGCTCTGGGCTCCCCTGGGGGCTGGTCCCCCTCCTTCTGGCAAGCAGAGGTCCTGGGGCTGGCCTGGCAGAGACAGATGCCCCACTTTGCAGCCCCAATTGGCTGTGAGTTCAGAGTCCACTGGGCCACGTCTGAGGCAGGGGATGGACGGCCCTATTATCCACACCAGCGGCCCAGAGGAAGAGGTGGTCCTGGAGATATGGGAGGCTGGCTGGCCTCTGAGCACAGCATCTCACCTCTGCACAGAAGTCTGGTTGCTACTAGGAGTGGGCGGGAGCCGGGAAACCTCTGGGGTGTGACTGTGGGGAGGCCTGTGGGTCTAGGATGTGGAGCACAGGGCTCTTCCCAGCTAAGGGAGCAGAGAAGGCGCCCGTGTGGCTTTCTTTGGACGGAAGCAAGGGTAGAATCCTCTCCACTGGAAAGTGGCCGGTAGAGGCTTGGTGCCACACAGGCAATCAATGGGGGGGGGGCGTCCCACACCGGAAGTCAGCAAAGGGCGTGTCCCACACTGGAAGTCAGCTAGTGGAGACTTCCCCAGTTGGAAGTCACTGAAAGGGTCTTAACCACACTGGGAATCACTGAGTAGTTAGTTCAGGAAGTCAGCGTGAGGGGGCATTTCTCCTATTTGAGGGATGGGAAGAAGGGTTTTTCTTAAACCGGAAGTCAGTGAGAGGGGGATTTTGCCTTATCACCAGACGGTGAGAAGGAATGGCCAGGAGATCAGTGAGAGGGGCCTTTCCTACAACAGGAAGTTGGCTAGAGCCCTCCCCATCCCCAGAGGTGGGAGATCCAGGTTTCCCACACTGGAAGTAGGTGTGAGTCATTTTTCCCACTGGAAGTCATTGAGAAGGACTGTCTACACCAGGAAATCTGAGAAAGCTGGGAAGAAAGCAGATCTTGGGTTCAGGATTGGCAGGGGGAAGAAGTGGGAAGCAACAAATGAACCCTAGGGGCCCACAGGGTCCCACAGCCCCTCAGGCCAGCCAGAAATTCATCCCTGGCTTCTTGCCCTCTTCGCACCCATGGCCCGACCCCAGTGTGCCTCCCCCAGAGCCCGCCAGCCGCTAAGCCAGGGCCACACCTGGGGGTGATTTTATGCCTCACCTCCAGTAGGCACCTTGGTCTCTTTGGGCTAATCTCTGGCTCCCTTGCACTAACTCTTGCTCTCACCCAGCTAATCCCCGCCTGCCCTGGCTGCCCCAGGGGGGCTGACCACTAACAGCCAACCTTGCCCATCTGGGGGCTCCAGGCTCCTGGCCTGGCTCTGACCTGCTCTTAATTAACCTCTCCTTCACCTGACTAACTCCTGCCCTCCTGATCTGTTCCTTTCAGCAGAAACTAACGGCTTGTGGATTTCTTTCTGACTAACAACAGGTCTAACACTCCTCGTAACAATTACTATTAACAGCTTGGATATCGGCATGGCTGGGACTGGGCTAACACAGGTTTGGACTTAACTAACACAGGGAGAGGTGGAGGTAGTGGTGTCGGACGTGGTGACTGCTCTGGGGAAGAGCCATGTGAAGCCAGTAAAGATCTCAGTACTCTAAAGGAGGTGCCGGGACTGGGGTGAGGCTCAGGCCAAATGGAGGAGTGGTGTCTGCCGGGGTGGGCTCAGAAGCATAGTCAACTTTCAAGGTTTTGCCACAGGACATAGCCTATTAACCCCTTATAACCTGCATCTGAGTTTTGGTTCTTTTAAATAATAGCCTGATAGTTGTAATAGTCCAAACACGTGGACGCAGCTTTTGTAGCCCTAAAAATGCCTATGCCTGTCTGGTGTGTACAGAGGATATGCCTTTATGTATGGACTCATCAGTCACCAGGCCAGGGCCTAGAGTCCTTGATTTAGGGACTTTCGAGTTTTGGAAGCCCTAGGACATAAAACTTTAGATTGAGATAGTCAGAAGGGTTATAAATCTATCACCCATTTACACGTTGGTATAAATTAGATCAGCTTCCTCTTCTAATTTCTATGCAATTTAGCTGCCCTGAGATGAGAGTTTGGCCGGAAGGGAGTTTTGATCTCTGCAAGGCTGGGGGAGGATCCTTTGGGAGCAGAGAGGAGAAGCTAGGAGGCTAGGGATTCCTGGGTGTGGGTAAGAGGGGGTACCAGGTCGAGGAGGGTGGGAAGAGGGA